ATTCAATTCAAGTTGATTTATATAGCGCCAAATCACGACAAGAGTCGTCTCAAGGCACTTCACATAATAAACATTCCAATTCACAGTTCATTAAGCCAATCAGAAATAATGTGTCCTATATAAGGAACCCAGCAAATTGCATCAAGTCACTGACAGCAATCCTCATAGCATGCAGCGACAGTGGAGAGGAAAACTCCCTTTTAACAGGAAGAAACCTCCAGAGAATCCTGGCTCAGTATAAGCAGCCATCCTCCACGACTCACTGGGGATCAAGAAGACAGAGCAGACACACACACACACACACACACACACACACACACACACACACACACACACACACACACACACACACACACACACACACACACACACACACACACACACACACACACACACACACACACACACAATAATGTGTCTACAGTTCTATTGTGATGTCTTAGTAAATATTCTATTTGGTGAGAGATAAACTTTATTGTATTTATCCTAGTGGATCTCTAATTAAATGGGTAAACTAGCAGTAACACGTCCAATGTCCTATTTAGATGGAGGCATGTTGGAGGCAGGGCAAGGGAGAGCCGTCTTTACCGACTGTACACTCCACCTCCCTCTACTCCCCCACTTGTCCAGATTTAGGCTAACGTCAGATTTTAACCATAGGCCCTATCAAATAAAAATGTTTTAAGCCTAGTCTTAAAAGTAGACAAGGTGTCTGCCTCACGGACTAAGGCTGGGAGCTGGTTCCACAGGAGAGAAGCCTGATAACTAAAATGTCTGCCTCCCATCCTAATTTTAGATATTCTGCGAACCACCAGTAGACCTGCAGTCTGAGAGCGAAGTGCTCAGTTAGGAACGTATGGAACAATCAGATCACTGATGTATGATGGAGCTTGATTATTAAGAGCTTTATATGTGAGAAGAAGGATCTTAAAATCTATTCTGAATTTAACAGGTAGCCAATGTAGGGAAGCTAAGACAGGAGAGATATGATCTCTCTTTTTAATTCTCATCAGAACTCTAGCTGCAGCGTTTTGGACAAGCTGAAGACTTTTACCCACATTCTGTGGACTTCCTGAGAGTAATGAATTACAGTAATCCGGTCTTGATGTAATAAATGCATGAACTAGTTTTTCAGCATCACTCCTGGAAAGGATGCTTCTAATCTTAGCAATATTCCAAAGGTGGAAAAAGGAAATCCTACAAACCTGTTTAACCTGGGAATTGAATGGCATGTCCTGGTCAAAGATAACACCAAGATTCCTTACTTTGTTCTCGGAGATTAATGTAATGCCATTCAGGTCAGGCGATTGACTAAGCAATTTCCTTTTCTGGATTTCTGGTCCAAAGATGAGAACTTCCGTCTTGTCTTGATTTAAAAGCAAAAAGTTTAGAGTCATCCAATTTTTTATGTCTTCAAGATAAGCCTGTAATGTACCCCACCGATTAGGTTCATCAGGGTTAATGGATAAATATAGCTGAGTATCGTTAGCATAACAGTGGAAGTTTATCCCATGCTGTCTAATGATTTTACCAGTTGGGAGCATATATATAGTAAAAAGAATTGGTCCAAGCACTGAACCCTGTGGTACTCCACAAGTAACCCTGGAGTATGAAGACGAATTGTCATGTACATTTACAAAATGAAATCTATCAGACAGGTAGGATTTAAACCAGCCCAGTGCTGCTCCTTTGATCCCTACAACATGTTCGAGTCTTTCTAAAAGAACATTGTGATCAACTGTGTCAAAGGCAGCACTGAGATCTAACAAGACTAGAACAGACACAAGATTCTTATCTGAGGCCATGAGAATATCATTTGTAACTCTCACTAATGCAGTTTCAGTGCTGTGATACTCTCTAAAACCAGACTGAAATTCCTCAAACAGAGCATTAGTGTTTAAATGCTCACATACTTGGATGGCCACTATTTTCTCCAGGACTTTGGATAAAAATGGAAGGTTAGATATTGGTCTATAATTCATTGGGTCATCTGGATCCAGAGAAGGCTTCTTAAGTGAAGGTTTGATTACAGCAACCTTAAAATCTTGTGGTACATACCCATTTACTAAGGATAGATTGATTATATCTAGAATGGGGGCAGTGACCAAAGGAAATACTTCTTTAAATAATTTGGTTGGGATTGGATCCAAAATGCAAGTTGAAGGTTTAGATGAAGCTAATATTTTTGATAACTCTGAAAGCTCAACTGGATCAAAACGGTTCAAACACACATGGACGTAATTTTGGGGGGGGGGGGGGGGGACATGTCCCCCCCACTTTTTCCAAAGTCAAGTTTGGACCCCTGTACTTTTTACCATCCAAAAACAATATTACGCTATATTAAATTGACACTGGTTGAGCTCTAGGACCAAGCAGAAAACAACCATTTGTGTTGAAGCCTGTTTCCCATTAGAATGTACTGTAAAGAACGTTCCCTCGGAAAAGACAGAAGCCTGCTATCAGCAGGTGACAAGCTCCTGCACTGGGGGGGGGGGGGGGGGGTTGGGGGGCAACGCGCTGTGCCAGAGCGTCGGCACTGACATGCGATCGTTCATGTCGGTTCATTTCCTTTAATGTTTTCTGTCTTTTATTTGCACCTGATGCGTTTCGCTGTGGAGCGGGGCGCATCACCTTGTCCTCCGGTGACGCACCGATCACTGATGCGGCCTCCAAGCAGTGAGCACTCCGCTGTTTTTGCGGTCGGTAGATCTGCGTTGTGAGCACGGCCACAGTAACATTATCAAATCAGGTCTCGCCACCTCAAAAACTAATTTAACACGCGACCGTTCATGTCGGTTCATTTCCTTTAATGTTTTCTGTCTTTTATTTGCGCCTGATGCGTTTCGCTGTGGAGCGGGGCGCATCACCTTGTCATCCGGTGACGCACCGATCACTGATGCGGCCGGCAAGCAGCGAGCACTCCGCTGTTTTTGCGTTCGGTAGATCTTTTAGAACTGCAGTTCAAAGGTAACTCATAAGGTGAATATATATGAACACAGGTAGCAGTTTCTCTTTAGGATTGAGAGGAGATGCAGCAAGATAATAATCAGAGACAGGACAGAAAAATAGTCAAATAAAAACAAGTTAGTTTTTGTACCTGGTGGTTGCAACAAACAGACACCATTGAAGATAATCAGAAGTGAGGAACAGAAAATGAAATAATTATTTTAATGTTTAGAGCAGCAGGAACTCCGAGAGGCTGCAGGCGCATCAGTGAGTTTGCGGCCACTGCGCAGGGGGAGGGGGGAGAGGGCTGAAGCAGGGGGAGGGGGGAGAGGGCTGAAGCAGGAACTACCGTTGTTAAAAGAAATGTGTTTAACTTTGAAAATGTGGGCGCAATTTTAATTGTCAAAAACTCCAGCAAACCATTAGTTCATTTTGCTCAAATAGAAATAGAGGCCTGCCTCTAATTCTGGCCCTCCTTCCAATAAAGGCCTGGAGCTTGATGAGCTTGAGTCAAATACAGGCCCGGGCCTGTATTAGAGGATTTACGGTACATTTATACATATACATACATATATACATATACATACATATACATACATATACATATATACATATACATATACACATATTCATATACATATATGCATATACATATATATATATACACATATATACCATATTTTCCAGACTATAAGCCGCTACTTTTTTCCACGCTTTGAACCATGCATCTTATAATGAGGTGCGGCTTTAGTCAACCAGAAAGGATGGATGCTGGAAAGTCTAATGAAGGAATGGTTAAAGGAGTACTACGGATAGCATCCAGGGGGATTTTTTATCACAGTAAAACGGCGCTGCTTGTTTTCCCAGCTTCACCCCGGGATGATGACAGCAACACGAAGAGCGACACGGACATCGCCACAGAAAAGGTTTGTGACGAAGCTCTTCTGAGGCTGTTCAGCTCCGACACTGAAGAAGATGACTTCAGTGGTTTCAGTGCACAGGAGGACGATGAATAAACTAATCAATAACTTTTCTGTTTTGTTTGATACTGATCAGTTCAGTTACGTTCAGTTAAACTACATTTTCAATTCAGTAGATATCTGCGGCTTATATTGAGGTGCGCTCTATCCACACACACACACACACACACACACACACACACACACAAATATATATATACATATACACACACACACACACACACACACACATATATATACACATACATATATACACATATATACACACACTATAAACACATATATATATGGGGCGACGGTGGCACAGGAGTTAAGTTCTCGCCCATAATCGGAAGGTTGCGGGTTCGAGCCCCGCTCAGTCTGTCGCTGTCGTTGTGTCCTTGGGCAAGACACTTAACCCACATTGCCTGCTGGTGGTGGTCGGAGGGACTGGTGGCGCCAGTGCTCGGCAGCCTTGCCTTTATCAGTGCGCCCCAGGGCAGCTGTGGCCACATCGTAGCTCATCCCCACCAGTGTGTGAATGGGTGAATGAATGATTGTGTTGTAAAGCGCCTTGAGGGGTTCCAGGACTCTAGAAGGCGCTATATCAAATACAGGCCATTTACCATATATATGTACATGTGTAATATATATATATATATATATATATATATATATATATATATATATATATATATATATATATATATATATATATATATATATATATACAGACACATATACATATGACACTCCCTCCCAAGTAGAATTAACTAAAGAATAAAATGTTTATATGATGTTGGGTATCAATGAGTTTGATGAAATGCAATCTTTCTAGGACAAAAACAAGCCCAACATAACCCCTTCATGTCTGAAAACTTCTGTTATCAAAATTACACATTAAAACACACTTCTGAAGATCAGACAGTGAACAGAGGCTAAATATAAAGACATAAATAATACATTGTAGTTCCAAAGATACCATTTTAATGAATGATCATAAATATAAAACACGATTTAGAGCAGAAATAAGCCCAGGCCGTCCCACTCCAGGGTTTGTTTATGCAACAAGGCCAACATTTCGGGGCCCACGTCACTGGTTTCCACGGTGGGCTGATCCCTCCAGCGCGGCTCTTCCGGTGGAGACGTGGCTCTCTGCTGCTGCCATATTGACGCTAACGCGCTAACAATCACTCAACTGGAAGTCAGCTGGATCGTTCCTCACCTTTCCAGAGGGCCAAAAAACATCCCAGCGGTGGAAACACGAGGGACTGAAGATCTCCACACCTCACAGAGTGACCGAATATGGTGAGTTCCAGCTGAGAACGTGTGGAAGTAGCCTGGGCTAGTCGGGCCTGCTGCCATCATAACATTAGCTAACCTGACAAACGGCTAAAGCTAGCTCATTTTCTCTGCCCCAAAACGAGCTTAAAGGGAAACCTTGGACGGCGTTTATTGGACCGTCTTGTCTAACGACTGTTTAAAGGGCACACACGGAGTTTATAAAGGTTCATTTTTAAAAACAGAATCTTATTTTTTCAGTGAACTGGACCTAGAGGAACACACAGACACTGCTGACGTTACCTAGCACCTTCAGGCTGCTGGTGTTGTGTCAGAATCCGGATCCCAACTAACCTGAGCTGCTGTCAGGCTCTCCTCAGACAGAAATAATAAACTCCACACACAGAGACATGGTGTTCGTCAGCGGGCACAGCTTCGTTCACCACAGCTGCTTTCTAACCACAGCTAGCTCGACACGTAGTGCCCCCGGTCATGTGAAAGTGAAGTTCCAGCTTTCAGATCCCTAAATGAAAAGTCTTACGTGTTTATAACCATCGTTAAGCTAAGATTTCATTTAAACCAGGTGTGACTTATTTATTCAGGCTTCAGGTGAGCCAGCCCATCAGCGCCAAGGCAAATATTGGTGGTTCCGATTAGGTGAAGCTTACTTACTCTCGCCGCTGTCTCTGACGCGGATCGTCTCTGCCCTTTGGAGTAATTTAGGTGCCTATCCGGTTTATACAGCCACCATCACATAGTTTATCCTACAGGTGTAGTTTTGTTCTTGATGTCAAGGCCTTCACTTGGAGCTGGGATTAGTTTTTGCTCCTTCAGAGAAAGTGGAAATATTCTGTCAGTTCCTTTTTCTTAACCCTGTCTGAAGGCAGCATTTGGTCTAATTGTAACTTTTTACAGACTCATCACACATGCATCTTTTCCCCCTCGCCCTGCAGGTGCTGTTGGCAGCGGCGGTGTGCACCAAGGCCGGAAAGGCCATAGTGTCCCGGCAGTTTGTGGAAATGACCCGGACGCGGATCGAGGGTCTTCTGGCTGCGTTCCCTAAGCTGATGAACACGGGCAAGCAGCACACCTTTGTGGAAACAGACAGTGTTCGTTACGTGTACCAGCCGCTGGAGAAACTCTACATGGTCCTCATCACCACCAAGAACAGCAACATTCTGGAGGACTTGGAGACACTCAGACTTTTCTCCCGGGTGGTAAGGAAACACAGAGCTGTTTTTAATATGTGGGCTGGCTTTGTGAAACTGACCCAGAAGATGGGAGATGAAGCTAAATGTTGGGCTTGATAACAGATCACACGTGCAACATCACACCAGTACAAAGTCAGTTGTCCGTTAGGCCGTAGTTGGCCGTCAGTTACTCCATTAGACCTTGAGCAGTTTAGTTGTTTTACTATCAAACACGGTGGATCGTTTAGATCAGCGGTGCTTGTCCCACAGCACAGCCGGGCTGCCTCCCCCCAGCTCCTCGACCCGCAGCTGCTTCTGGAAACTAAATCAAACTCGTTTAATTATTCTGATCATTATCAGAGTTAAAGATCACGTCCATCTGCTCCTGTGCACTGGAGTCCTGTCTGTCCGTCCTCTCCAGGCTGCTGTGGTTTGGTTTGATGGCGTTAGAGAAAACGTTTCTGTGACCGTGGAGAGTTGGACGTCTCATCATCGCTGCACCACTTGGTCTAAAGCAGTTCGTTTTCCTACTGTTGCATCAGAATATCATCAGATATGAAGCATAATAAACAAACAACGCTCTTTATGCTTATTTATATTTATAAAGTAAAACGGGGAGAAAAGCTAAGTCGGACAGTCCTGTTTTACTCCCAGTCTGGTTTAAAAAGCAGCTTTTCCACAGTTGATGGGATTTAATATGTGACACTTTTAGACTAACTGGTTAATGAATCCTTTCCCTTTTGGTTAACCAAACTAAAATATTTACTTTTTATGAACACATCTTTCTTGGCTTTAGAGATCTGAGCTTAGCCCTTAACATCACACATTTAACATCAAATCCAAAGTTTAGAAACATATCTCATCTTATTTTATACTCCAGGCTCCATTAACCCAAGCATGGACCATGCTATAGCTAGCATTAGCCTCCCTGTAGCATGATAATACACCAGAAAATGCTCGTCATCGTTTTTATGTTGTTGCTGTTTATTCTCTTTATAAGGATAGGTGATTACTTTTATCAGGTTATGTATCACATGACACACTCTGGGTGTGGTGTAGCTAGTATATTGTGTGTTTACACAGGTTCCTTCACTCTTTAGCTTCTACTCTACAAAATGAGACTATCTGAGAGCTTTGACCCCGGCTACAGCTGCGTGAGTCTTACTAACGCCTAGAAAACCAGGCCACACGCTCTTTAGAGCACATTTTGGCTTTCAAAATGATTTGAAGCATTCAAACTTAACGAATAAACTAACTTAAAAATCAAAATGTTTCAGTAAAATATTATAATAGTAAGCCAACGCAAATAAAAAGGCACTAAATATTTGTTTCTGTCACATTTTGCTGGTGTGGAGACCTAAATAACACGAAGTCAGCAGCTATGTTGGGGTTTGGTTTTAAGGCCCGCTGTGTTACTATGGTAACAGAGTCCTAGCTCACCTGCTCCAGGTGAAACGTTCAGAATTAGGGTTTGTATAAACTCCATCGCTTTGTTTTTGAATGTCTGACTCCTAATTGCTTCGACAGTATTTATGCCATATTTCTACCAGATCCTGTAAGCTTTTAAATAAATCGGATAATCAAATTGCAAATAATTCCACGATCGTCCTTAACCGTCTGGGGTCCATGGACGCGTATCCGCGTCTTTTGAACAGGTCTGATTTGGGACGCTGTAGCAGCAAGACTCCGCCTCCCTGAGTTTTGGTTTCAATTCAGCTTTAAAAAGGAGATTATAAACTACACCCCAGATTTTAAACTTTGTTAATAGGCAATGTAAAAGCGGAGTTGTGGGCTCGACACACGGGAGGCGATCCGCGGCAGCGTGCATGTCTCATTGAACATGAATGGAGGAGAGGCGATGTCGCCTCCCGTGTGTCGAGCCCATTAGACTAAACTAAAAAAAACGACCTATTTTTAGACAATCTGACAACTTGTCAAAACAGCAGAGGGAGAGGGAATGTGCTTGTGAACACAAAAACATGAGATCCTTTTGCTGTTGGTGGAAGTCTCACATATTCAGTTGATAAAAAGCATCATTATGTAGCTGAGAGAGAGAGGAAGGCCGCACGAGTAACGAGATGTGCGCACAAAGGAGCCGCTTCGCGGGGAAAGTATAGTGGCGCGAACGGAGTAACGACAAACAATTAGACAGATATTGACGGTAAACTTGGTATTTTGGAGCGATCCGGACAGATCTATTGTCTCTGCAGTTTAGTCAGCTTTTATTAGGCTTTAATAAAGGATGATGAGAAGGATAAATGTCCACCAGGCAGTTCAGATAGTACGGCTGTTTTTTGAACTGGAAGAAGAGGAAGTGGACGGACACTCACAGCCAGAGTCTGAGGCAAATAGCGAGGATGTTGATGAGGATGTGGCAGATCCATCCTTCCTCATAGAAGAGTTGGGTCATGATGAGGTGGAGGATGAAGGCAGAGATGCAGCTCCTCGGAGATCCAACAAGAAGAGTGGACGGCGCAGCTGACAGAGCCACTCTTCTCTCTCCAAAATGCATGTACATTATTGCCAAATTAATAAAATGAGTATAAATTCAGATAGTCCAGGTTGTCCTGAAAATAATGATACCCCATAAGGCAATATTTATTGTTTTTATTAGAAAATACAAAGGAAAACCAAAATGAGTCAAAAATGGTGATTTACACCCTGGACCCCAGAGGGCTAAGAATTGTTTTTTGTTATTTGATATATGTATTCATATGTTTTATAAATGTACAGTCTAGATTACCATTCTAAATTATAAAAAAAAAAACATTCGTCATAAATGTTTGTTGGTTTCACAGTAAAATAAACAACTTTTTTCCTATTCAGATTTTATGTTTTTGAGTGATTTAAGGTCTAATATGCAACCCCTTTATGTCCAAATATAAAAAATAAGTATAAATTCATAAAGTCCAGGTTGTGCTGAAAAGACTGAAACCACATAAGGCAGTGGTTATGGCTTTTATTTTGGAAATACAAAGGAAAACTCTAAATTAGTCAAAAACGGCAAATTACGCCCTGGACCCCAGAGGGTTAAAGGCCTTTAGGAAAAGTTTTGATTACACAACCTAACCACGATGCTTTTACTCGGGCACAAACCGTAACTGTAATAGTTTAAAGCAGGGGTCCCCACTCCTGGTCCTGGAGGGCCGCTATCCTGCATGTTTTAGTTTGAACTCTGCCAGTTCAACACACCTGATTTCAATCAGCAGCTAATTAACAGGCTTCTGCAGAGCCTGATGAGCTGCTGCACAGGGGTTTCAACCACTGAGGCCTAGTTCACACGTAGCCGTTTTAAAAAAAAAAAGAATATCCGCCCCTCCAAAAACTTGCATCCACACCACCTCGTTTACAAAACAAAACTCTGTCCACACGTACCCGGATAAATACGTTGTTAAGGACATGCCAGACCTGTAGGCGGCAGTACTTCCCCCGTTCTTAACCTCGTCCTTCGTCTGTGGTCTTCCGCAAGGAGCAGTAATTCCGCTTGCAAAAACAAACAAGCAAAAAGCGCTTGGACAATTGATAAAGCGAGCGCAGCTCTAAGGGCATCCATGCTGTCGGCTAGTGTAAACACAGGTCGCACACGTGATGTCAGCATTTTTTTGTTGCGGAAAGTGACGTTGCGGACCTTAAAACTCCGGTTTTGTCTGTCCACACGCAGACACCCAAAACGGAGAAAACGCAGATCTTCACTTTGGCCGGAGTTTTTAAAAAGATCCGTTTTCGTGTGAAAAAACTCCGTTTTCGTGTGGATGACAGGCCAAAACGTAGAAAAATATCTACGTTTTGGCAGATCCCTGGCTACGTGTGGACAGGGCCTGAATCAAGCCTGTTGGAGCTGAAAACCCACTAAACCTGCTGGATACCGGCCCTCCAGGACCAGGATTGGGGCCCCCTGGTTTAGTGTCATTCTGAAGTGTCTTTGTAAAAGTGTTTACCGTTTCCTTCACCCGTTTGCTCGGCTCTTCCAGATCCCAGAATACTGTCGCGTGCTGGAGGAGAGTGAAATTTCGGAGCACTGTTTCGACCTGATCTTTGCCTTTGATGAGATCGTGGCGCTCGGCTACAGAGAGAACGTGAACTTGGCTCAGATTCGCACCTTCACAGAGATGGATTCCCACGAGGAGAAGGTTTTCCGTGCTGTCAGAGAGGTGAGGTCACACAGACATGTTGAATTGTATTTAGTTGAATTAGAGAGGCGGAGAGTCCAGGGTGAGTGTGATTTGAGTTAGAATTGGGAAAGAAGACAGGACTAACTGTGCTGGACCGTCCTCAGACCCAGGAACGGGAAGCCAAGGCAGAGATGAGGAGGAAGGCCAAGGAGCTGCAGCAGGCCAGGAGAGATGCTGAGCGTTCTGGGAAGAAGGTGCCAGCGTTTGGAGGCTTTGGCAGTGCAGGAATGAGCAGCATGTCCTCGGGCTCCGTCATCACAGAAACCATCGTCGAGCCTGAAAAACCCAAGATCACACCAACTCCAGTCCGGTATCGGGCTTCCGCTGACTTCTTTCACAGCATCTGCTCTTTCTTCTGGTTTCTTTGTGTCATTATTGTTTTAATCCATCCAGATCAAGTGGACCAAGCAGAGCTCTGAAACTGGGCGCTAAAGGGAAAGAGGTGGACAACTTTGTTGACCAGCTGAAGTCTGAAGGTGAAACCATCATTCCTTCAACAGGGAAGAGAGGCTCAGATGTGTCTAAGGCTCTGCCAGCACCTGTCAATGTGGAGAGGTATGCACTCATCATGGCTAGGGATGGGTATACCTTTGACATTTGAATCGATTCGGTACTAATTCCCGGTACCTACGAATCGATACCGGTACTTAATGGTATCAATTTTCGATACTTTTCAGTGTTTATTATTTTAATTCTCTTTTATAATTAAATATATATTTTTCCCAATTTATAACCATATTTGATAAATATCACGATAAATAACATACAACTGTTTGTATTTTAACATCGTCCTTGTAGTTTTATAAGCTGATAATTGAACTGAAGCAAACATCTTTACTGTGAACTAAAGTTACTGTGTATCTTCATTCCCTTTGCCGTCTTTTTTTCATTTGATTTTTCCTACTGGGAAGTTAGAATTTCCGAGGAGAAAGCGAACGCACCATTAGATAACGATAGTGGCATAGGAAGCTAACATATCAAGCTAACGTTATCTTAAACAGTTTAACTGCTGGAGCAGATTAAAACGATGATCCCTCACACTTAGATCGTTGTCACTGGTTTCATCATCACCCAATCACCCGTCGCATTTAGTAAAGTGAAGCCAAACTTTAGAGCGTGTTCATGTTCTTCTAGTCGGAATTTCGGAGTTCCGAGGAGAAAGCGAACGCACCATTAGTGAAACGGAAGCTAACAAATCAAGCTAACGGTATCTTAAACATTTTATTTACCCACCAGAGCAGATTAAGATGAGGATGTCTCACTTAGATCGTTGTCGCTGGTTTCATCATCACCCAGTTACCCATCACATTTAGTGAAGTGGACCCAAGCGTTAGCGTGCCTTCTTTCTACCATGCTGCTCTGTTTACAACTCGCTCGCAGCGACCAACGACATAACGCTCTTGCACATGCGCAGCTGTCTTAGCAAGTTCTCGTTGTGAAGGACGGGCACCGAAACGAGGCACCGTTTGAAATGACGTGAATCGGTGCTCGGTCGGTACTGTGGAATTCGATCGGTACCTTAAAAAGTACCGAATTTGGTACCCATCCTGATTTTAATGCTTTCTTTTGGGTTTTACAGCTTCTCAAAGTTTGTGGATTTTCACATATTAGCAGAAACACCAACGTTGCCCTGTAGCTGGAGATTACCACACTGAAGTTATAAAAAGAGACCCTGATCTGATGCTGGAGCTTACATCTGGATGTCCATGATATAATGTTGTTTTTATTTAAACCCGACTGCTTTGATCTTTATTTACATCTGTGTGGCTGTGTTTTCTGCTCAGCGTACACCTGCGTGTGGAGGAGAAGATCTCGCTGACCTGTGGCCGTGATGGTGGCCTGCAGAACATGGAAGTGCTTGGCATGGTGACGCTTCGGGTCACAGATGACAAAAACGGACGCATCCGCCTCATTATCAACAACAATGACAACAAAGGACTACAGCTGCAGGTAAACATAGTTTAGTGCTTGGTCCTTTAGCCTTTTGATTGAGCTTAACTTGAGCAAATTATGGGATGGTTGTAGTGCTGACAGATTTGCTGATCACCATAGAGATGAACTAGATGCCTTAATGGAGTGGATTTGTCATTAAGGCCTAGTCCACACGTACCCGGATAAATACGTTGTTAAGGACATGCCAGACCTGTAGGCGGCAGTACTTCCCCCGTTCTTAACCTCGTCCTTCGTCTGTGGTCTTCCGCATGGAGCAGTAATTCCGCTTGCAAAAACAAACAAGCAAAAAGCGCTTGAACAATTGATAAAGCGAGCGCAGCTCTGAGGACATCCATGCTGTCGGCTAGTGTAAACACAGGTCGCACACGTGATGTCAGCATTTTTTTGTCGCGGAAAGTGACGTTGCGGACCTTAAAACTCCGGTTTTGTCCGTCCACACGCAGACACCCAAAACGGAGAAAACGCAGATCTTCACTTCGGCCCGAGTTTTTAAAAAGATCCGTTTTCGTGTGGATGACAGGCCAAAACGTAGTAAAATATCTACGTTTTGGCAGATCCCCGGCTACGTGTGGACAGGGCCTAAAGCTGCAATCCAGAGTTTTCCCCCTTTCAGGAGTTCTGTAGGATTTTTTTTATCCGTAAAAGTGATGTAATGTAGGTCAATGATCCCCCCCCCCCCCCCCCCCCCAGTCCTACAGAGCCCCATGCTATCTGAATTGAGCGTTCAGCATTAGCCAAAGGGATACTAATCTGCTGTGCATGAGCAGGGACGTACCTGAACTGATGCAAAGTTGGAGGCAGTTCTATGGATGAGTAGGTGTTCAGATGTACACATATGAATAAACAGCACAACATGAGAAGAACACGAGCCATGTTTGCTGGCTAGATGTGTGCGTCCACAAACGAGAGGTGTTGCTTCCAGCCTTAGTCACTGAATTAGGGTGAGGCTTAAGGTGCAGTACATTTCTCTGCCTCTAGATGGTGTCCTCTGAGGAAAAACAACTTGCTTCTGGGACACACACTTTTTTTTCCACACTGGAGGTTAAAAGGACAATATGTAGTTTTTTTAATATCTGGAAATATCCAATAAATTGTTGTTGAAAATGAATGAAATGATGCCCAATTGTTGAAAAATATTATTGGCTTCTTAACATATAACCGTATAAATTAGGTCTAAAATACACAGGAGTGGGTCTAAGTCCCTGAGCGATGCCGTGCTTCCTTCTACAGGAGCCCATGAGGACAAAACACATTAACTGATTTACCGACAAACGGTTACTAAACTTTCACCGTTCATAAATGTTGTTTTACACCTTTACGTCTTCACTAGTTGCCGGTGATGAAAGGGAGTGCTTGTCATTTTGCTAAAGTTTGCACTCCCCAGAGCTTTTTTGACCCTAAAGGGCATCCATAGGTAAGGTCTTACTCCACACAAAAATGCAGCTTGCTTGCAACTATTTAGGTATCTACTGCCCCCTATCGCCAGGAAAAATACACACTGTCACTTTAATGCTACTCTCTCTGTCTGTAGCACACATGCAGGTTGTGTGTTACTAATATCCTCTGATTTACTGAGGTAATAATGAATATATCAGGGTGTGTATTAACCTTGTGTCACAAGTAGCTGTTTGGCCTTTTCTCTTCACATTTATCTAATATGATCCAACTCACTATTTATTAGAAATGATTCATTTCTTTCAGTAAGTCGGGCTCGTTCCCAGTGAGAGTTGGACTCCGCCAAGGCTGCCCTTTGTCACCGATTCTGTTCATAACTTTAGTGGACAGGATTTCTAGGTGCAGCCAAGGTGTGGAGGGCAGCCATTTTGGAGGCCTGGGGATCAGGTCTGCTTTTTGTAGATAATGTGGTCCTCTTGGCTTCATCAGAACGTATCTACAGCTTTCGCCGGAGCGGTTCGCAGCCGAGTTTGAAGCAGCTGGGATGAACATCAGCTCCTCTAAATCTGAGACCATGGTCTTGAGTCAGAAAAGGGTAGAATGCCTTCTCCGGGTCAGGGATGAGGTCCTGCCCCAAGTGGAGGAGTTTAAATATCTCGGGGTCTTGTTCACGAGTGAGGGACAACTGGAGCGTGAGATCGATAGGCAGATTGGTGCTGCGTCTGCAGTGATGCGGGCATTGTACCGGTCTGTCATGGTGAAGAGAGCTGAGTCGGAAGGTGAAGCTCTCGATTTACCGGTCGATTTACGTTCCTACCCTCACCTATGGTCATGAGCTTTGGGTAGTGACCGAAAGAACGAGATCGCAAATATAAGCAGCCGAAATGAGTTTTCTCCGAAGAGTGGCTGGGCTCTCCCTTAGAGATAGGGTGAGAAGCTCGGTCATTCGGGAGGGGCTCGGAGTAGACCCGCTGCTCCTCCACATTGAGAGGAGCCAGTTGAGGTGGCTCGGGCATCTGGTCAGGAAGCCTCCTGGACGCCTCCCTGGTGAGGTTTTCTGGGCACGTCCAACCGGGAGGAGACCTAAAGGTAGACCCAGGACACGGTGGAGGCACTATGTGTCTCTGCTGGCCAGGGAACACCTTGGGATTCCCCCGGAGGAGCTGGTCCAAGTGGCTGGGGAGAGGGAAGTCTGGGCCTCTCGCCTTAGGCTACTGCCCCCTTGACCTGACTCCGGATAAGCGGATGAAAATGGATGGATGGATGATTCATTTCTTCTTTTTTCCTTGTTGTCAGACTCATCCCAACGTGGACAAGAAGTTATTCACCGCTGATTCTGTGATTGGCCTGAAGAACCCAGAGAAGTCCTTCCCTCTCAGTAATGATGTTGGAGTGCTGAAGTGGAGGCTGCAGACCACAGACGAGTCCCTCATACCGCTCACCAGTATGTCTTCATTACGCCGACCTCTCAGTAACCGCTTATTCTCTTGATCAGGTTGTTGTTTGTTTCTCACATCAAAGAGCGCTGGAGTTGGTCCAAAACATCTTTCACACACAAGCAGGAAACAACCTTTTATCTATTTATGTAAACAAGTTTTCAGAAAGTTGTGATTAAAGTCAATCTGGTGGATTCCTCTCTCCAGATAACAGGGCTGCATGACATCAGGAAAGTTTGTGGTGTGTGTCACTCACTCACTCACTCCTCACTCACTCACTCACTCACTCCTCACACTCACTACTCACTCACTCACTCACTCCTCACTCACTCACTCCTCACTCACTCACTCAATCCTCACACTCACTCCTCACACTCACTCCTCACTCACTACTCACTCCTCACTCACTCCTCACACTCACTCACTCACTCCTCTCACTCACTCCTCTCACTCACTCACTACTCACTCACTCACTCACTCCTCACACTCACTCCTCACACACTCACTCCTCACTCACTCCTCACACTCACTCACTCACTCACTCACTCCTCTCACTCACTCCTCTCACTCACTCACTCACTCACTCACTCACTCACTCACTCCTCACACTCACTCCTCACACACTCACTCCTCACTCACTCACTCACTCCTCTCACTCACTCCTCTCACTCACTCACTCACTCACTCACTCACTCACTCCTCTCACTCACTCCTCTCACTCACTCCTCTCACTCACTACTCACTCACACACTCCACTCACTCACTCCTCACACTCACTCCTCACTACTCACTCCTCACACTCACTCCTCACTCACTCCTCACACTCACTCACTCACTACTCACTCCTCACACTCACTCCTCACTCACTCCTCACACTCACTCACTCACTCCTCTCACTCACTCCTCTCACTCACTCCTCTCACTCACTCCTCTCACTCACTCCTCTCACTCACTCACTCCTCTCACTCACTCACTCACTCACTCACTCACTCACACACTCCACTCACTCACACACTCCTCACTCACTCACTCACACCTCACACTCACTCACTACTCACTCACTCACTCCTCACTACTCACTCACTCCTCACTCACTCACTCACTCACTCCTCACTCACTCACTCACTCACTCACTCACTCACTCCTCACTCACTCACTCACTCACTCCTCACTCACTCACACACTCCACTCACTCACACACTCCCTCACTCACTACTCACTCACTCCTCACTCACTCACTCCTCACTCACTCACTCCTCACTCACTCACTCACTCCTCACTCACTCCTCACTCACTCCTCACTCACTCACTCCTCACTCACTCCTCACTCACTCATTCCACTCACTCACTCACTCACTCACACCTCACACTCACTCCTCACTCACTCACTCACACCTCACACTCACTCCTCACTCACTCACTCACACCTCACACTCACTACTCACTCACTCACACACTCCTCACACTCACTCACTCCTCACTCACTCCTCACTCACTCACTCACACCTCACACTCACTCCTCACTCACTCACTCCTCACTCACTCACTCCTCACTCACTCACTCCTCACTCCTCACTCACTCACTCACTCACTCACTCACTCACTCACTCACTCACTCACTCACTCACACACTCACTCCTCACTCACTCACACTCACACACTCACTCCACTCACTCACTCACTCACTCCTCACTCACACAGTCAATCACTCACTCACTCACTCACTCACACAGTCAATCATGAATGAATAGGGTTGTTTAGAGGATGCTTTGGTGGTGAACTGGTCACGCTGGCAGGGACCCGTGTCTCACCCAGCATGTGTGTGTATTGTAGTAAACTGCTGGCCGTCAGAGAGCGGCTCTGGCTGTGACGTCAACATCGAGTATGAGCTTCAGGAGGACAGCCTTGAGCTGAACGACGTCGTCATCACTATCCCTCTACCGTAAGTAAATCTGCTCCGGTCCAGATCGACGGTGATGTGGTCTGCAGTGACACCTGCTGTGTTGCAGGTCTGGGGTGGGAGCTCCTGTCATCGGGGATCTGGATGGAGAGTACAAACACGACAGCCGGCGGAACCTGCTGGAGTGGTGCCTACCTGTTATCGATGCCAACAACAAGACCGGCAGCATGGAGTTCAGCATCGCTGGACAGCCCAACGACTTTTTCCCAATCAACGTGTCCTTTGTGTCCAAGCGCAACTACTGTGACATTCAGGTGGGTTTGTGTCACTTTTTCTGTGGAGAACACACACCGTGGCCACAGAAACACCGTTTTTAATTCTGCTCCCCTGTTTGACACCCCTGCTGGGTTTGTCTCATTAGTCTTCTTCTTTAAAAGGAACCCAGGTTACAAAACCTTGTGGTTCTTAAAAGATAAATGCTAGTATCAGTTATATTAAAATTGTGTAAAAAACCTTCTTAATGTCTTCATAACATTTGTAAAATAGTTTAACTCGTAGGTCACCATTGTTGTTGGCGTCACACTGCACTCTGGGTAGTGACGTCATATGGTTGTACCTCGGTTGCACCGGCCGGCTTTGGGACCCTGTAGTGACTGTTCAGCGACCTCGACATGTCATCTGTTCAGCCTTTTCAGTTTGAACCAGAGTGAAACATTAATGATGACATCACTGACCATGTTTCACAAAACCAGCGTCAACATGAAGAGCAAGAGGGGCGGGATGGAGCGAGAGCTGGACAAAACCGGTGTTGCGTGTGCGGCAAATGCGTCTCCGTGGTAACCGAGAGGGAGGGTGTTTGTTGCCAAGAGCTCACATTCTTGTCAGCAGAAGTTAACGGTAAATGATCGTGTGATCAGACGTGTTCAATTATGCACCCAGAGCTGTCGTGTGCTTTATAGATGGTTAGGATATTCAGTGAAACCACTTTAATCATTTCTGCAGATATCATACAGGTGGAGAACACCGTGTTGCTACACTTACTGCTTGTTTTACTGACGGGAGAGGTGAACGTTCAGCTTCATCCGTGACGAGCGGCGTGTCCGATGGTTGGCTGAACGTGACAGAAGCGGCAGCTGCAGGAGCGGGTTGTCGGCTCAGTTGAGCGTCCGGCGTTTAGGCTCCTTGTGTGGGAAAATGGTCGGTAAAGCACATAGTTTCCACCATCTCTTATACCCAGCCACTCTGGTGAGCTCTTTAAGTCGTCGTGGTCGACTATAAGCCTCAAACGCATCGGGAGAAAAATGTCGGGAACTCAGCCGCGGATCTTTGGGAAGTTGTGTCCGTCCACAGGCATCTTCCCACTGCTTTCTCCTCTTGTTGCCAGTGGGAACGCTGTGTAAACTCCCATCACTCCCCTTGTTGTCCTCTGACTGGAAACTACATCCAAAAGCAGCACAATGTGGCATTTTACTTCATTATTAATACAGTGAGCGCGTAAACAAACACCAGCGTCAACAGCTATTCTTCCAAGTGCAACCAATATACGTCATCGCCCCCAGAGTGCATCGTGTGCGGAAAACATGGCGTCCTGCGTATGTCAAAAAAAAGTACTAAATACTATAGATTTATAAATAAACAGCAATATTTTGTGTGTTTCTAACAACATAGTTTGGTACAACAGAAAACTTGTGGCTCATTGGGGCACACACGTCCTCATAGCTGGAGTTCCTCTTAAGATGGTTATAAACCAGTTGTTCTTTAATGGTCTCTGACTGGTGTGTAAACACCTCTGTGAGCAGGAGGTAATCGCAACCAGGATCTATAAACACCAGCTGGTGATGACGAACAAGCCAACGATGTTTACAGATGAGCAGCGATTGTGCTCAAGGAGCTAACTGCAGCAGCTAAAAGTGAACCCAAACAATAAGTGACAACAATAGCAGTTCACCCCCGTCCACTAGCTGCTGGATCCAAAACAGAGAAGATCCTCACTGACTCCCTTGTATTCCAAGCTCAGATGACTTTTTTTAATTATTTTTGGACCTGCTCTCAGGCGGTCCGCTTCATGTGAAGCCGAGTAAACACACCCACTACCAACTGATTGGCCGGCTGAAGTTCACGCCTACTTCTAGACGGAGCCTCTGGTTGGTGGGTGGAATCGGTCAGCAGCTGCCTCCTGCATGTGCGGTCCATGATCAGTCTGACTGCAGCTCGTACCTTCTGCTCCAGCCGCGGCAGCGAGAGGACGGCCTGCTGTGAGAGGAGCCCACAGCAGTCCCAGTGACATTAGGAAGCTGTGTGCTTCCTATCAGAGCGAGGCAACACTGCTCTCGGCCGCCTTTGCTTACTAACTCAAGGAGGTCAACACAGACTTCTTTTTCCCTGCCCACATGCTCAGAGACATCCGCGTTTCTGAGAAGGCTATGTGAACAAAACCTGGCTGTGTGGGGATGGGCCAACGCTGCCAAGACCGGACCGGGTCTGATGTGAAGATGCCTTTAGTTTTAAATGATGCAGAATCAAATTTGAAACATGGAGCTCATTTTCATTGGTTCTTCTGAGCCCGTCTCCAGCTCCCAATGAAGGATTCTTCCTCCAGCTGTGGTCCGGCTCACACAAACCAGACTGCAGGATCAGATTTTAGGATCCGACTGTCGCCAGACTGATCTGATACCAGTGACTGGGAAAAGGTCTTTATCGGGACCCTGATCCGGTACTGGGAGTCAGGAACAAACAGACATGAGACAGGGTGTTCCCTCTGGTGCTCCTGTATCTGATCACATCAGACAGACCAAACAAACATCCTAGATACTCACCATCCCAGGAGACGCTGTGTGTGCGGACACGTCTCAAGCACATCTGCACAGACGGCTGGGTGGGGCTAGCTCTCATGATGAGCGGTCAGACCTCACGAAGGCGAGGTGGTGTGGGTTCCTTACGTTCTGGTTGTTAGTGGGGTTTCCAGCAGCAGCAGACAGAAGAGGGCATGTAAGTATGCAGGCACAGATCTAGCCAGGTCTGTGTGGATCAACCTTATCAGCTGATCTGTGTGTGGGTACCTTTTGTTTGTGAGCACATTTGAGTTAGAGGAGTGTGCAGTGAAGGGGTTTCTGAAGGTTTGAGTCTGAAGACTGGCTGGAGTAAGATTCATCTGACAAACCCTCAAATGTTTCTCTCTGAGTGAGATGAATGACGGGTAAGGTGGGAACGCGACCTAAACTGAACCAGACCTGTTTGTCTTTCTTCTAGGTTACCAAAGTGACTCATGTAGATGGAGACAGCCCTGTCAAGTTCTCCTCAGAAACCTCCTTTGTTGTTGACAAGTACGTCATCGAGTAGATTTTGGAAGAACATGACAAATACAAAAAAAACAACAAAAAAAGCTAAATCCACCAGAAAAAAGTCCAGATCTGCGCTACGGAGGAGAATGAAGGTCTCTGCCTGTGCCCCTGTTTACTCTCTGAGGCCGTACATCGACGGGACTGCGTTGGCCTCTGGGCGGAGCCTCCTGTGGTGGTGAAGAGCAGCGGGGGCTTATTTATGTTTGTATGAAAGAGGATCATCTATATAGAGTTAATTGAACATGAAAAACAACAAATATGCGTAAATAAGAACCCCACTGATGCTGTTGTGTAGAACTGTAAAGACTAAGTAGAGGTTGACTGTGGGGCTGAAGGAGGACCTGAGACATCCAGCTCCACTAGAGGGCGCTCTACTCCTCCTTGGCCTCGTTTCTCCTTCACGTTGCAGTTTACTGATTTATGAACAGGGCCCTTTTTCTTTCCAGGTTTTCTAATTGTGAAATAGCTGCTGTCTGGTTGATTCCACTCCTCCTCTTATCTTGTGATTGAATTAATAAAAGCTCCGATTTTTTTTTTTTCTTACAAAAACAGTTTTAATTTTTCCGGTTTGTAGAATTCGGCTCGTTTGGGGGAAACAACGGAACAAGGCTTTTTCTGTTTCAGTTATTAGCAAAGTGGTCTTTTTCAATGTAGACATGATTTCATTACCATTGTTTAGTCAGTTTCATCACTTATCTTCGTGTTTGACAGCGAAGAGCAGAACTTACCAGTAAAATCTTTTCACTGTCCTCATGTTTATTTTTGAACACCATCAAAACCACTCCTTATCACTAATGTTGGTTTTAGTTGAGCGGAAAGCTTGGAGCTGTTTAGTTTTGCAGAAAGGACCCACAACAACATCCCGGACCTCGGATAAGGCCCGTAGAGACCTGCGTCGCCCTCGTCGAGCCCGTTCTTCAGCAGGGACACTCTGGAGCTCACGGTAAACTGTAATGTTCGTCCACCCAGTTATCCTTTACTGTCATCAGCATCACCTGGGAAGTAATATTTGTTGTTCTATTTTTCCTTTTGTTTGTATCCCCTTAATTTCAAATTAGACGTGGCTGTGGGGTCAGAAATGACTAAAATGAGCTTTTGTTTGTTTTTCTTTTGAAAGCAAATTGCCGAAGGGGGATCTTAACATTCCAGTGTAGAAAAAAAACTTTAATGGAATAAAATGTATAATTGAAAAGTTATGGCTGATCTGGGTTTTGTCTTTATGTTCCCGTTTGTCAAACATGAAACAAGCAGGGGAGCAGAGTGGGTGCTCTGGTTCCAGACGGGTTCTGGTGGTTCCTCTGCAGTTGGCAGCTGGGTTGTTTGTTTCAGTGACCTTTAGATCTGAACATGTCAGTTCTCTTGTTCGCTCTTCCATCTCAGGAACGTTGCTAAGCTGAGAGGTCCCCCGACTCTGGAGCTCTCTCCCCCCTCAGGCTGAGATCAGTGGACTCAGAGGTCTCCTTTAAAAAGCAGCTAAAAACTCATCTGTTCAGAAAAAAAAGCAAACAGTTGAGACTCAGCAGAAAAAGAGCTGAAAGGAGAACTGAAACATGTTATTTCAGGATAAGGAGTCTGGTGGTGGTTGTTAGTCAGCCTGCCGTAACACTCGTGTCATCCTTACTAACGGTCACAGTCAGGCCAACGCTCAGTTTGGGTTCCATGTTTTTTTATGATGACTTCATTTTGAGAGTCCAACCTGGGAGAAGGTTGTGTTGGCTATCCCGGCCCAAGGCCTTGAGTTTGCATCTCATTCCTCTCCTTGTCCGTCGTTAACGACCACCGCTGAGGGTTGGTGCGCTGACAGATCATTACAGCGTCTGCACCACTGATGCTCCCCCGATCCGTTTAAAAATGGGCTTCATTCTGTTCATGAGCCCAAAGATATCCTAACACAGTCTGGAACAGATACTGGTTTCCAGTCCAGATTAGTTCACCTTTTTCCAGTTGAGGACGGAGGTGATAATCTTCCCAGCTGCTTATGGCGCTGTTGCAAACCCTTCCATTTCTGGAGGCTTGATAAAACCAACAGGATCCCATCCATTACTAAAGTCAGGGGTGCTATCCGAAGCTCCCCCGAGCCAGAGACCGTCCTCCCCGTGAATGGAGCCAACAATCGTTTAAGGCTCTGTAACAGAGTCTGTAACAGAGGGGGACCGTTGTTGAGTCCAACACCAGAGTCTGGCTTTTTATAAGCACGACTGTAATCGGAACACACCCTCCGCCTCCTTTTGTAGAGAGAGGGACCACCACCACCTCAGAGTACCAAACCAAATGACCAATCCCAACCTCCACACACTGTTGCACCGGTAACTCAAACATGACAACATGCAGGATCCACCCACATAGCCCTGCTGTTGTCAGATTCAATGATAGGCTTGTTCCAGATGAAGTCATCTGCCTCGTGCAACCCTGAGACTGTGTGGTCTGATCCTCGACACCAACCAGCAGGAGGGGCTCATTGTTGCTGCTTCTAAAGTCTAGGATCACCTCGCCGGTCCCCGCCGCCACCTGTCTGCATCATCACTGATGATGAGGCTGACCGCTGTAGTGTCATCTTTAGCTTTAACGACGTGGTGCTGGAGCTGGCAGGGCGGTCAGCATGTGGACAGGAGGGGACTGGGTAAACAGCTTTAGGGTAGCTGGTGCTCAGTCGTGGTGCAGCATGTTTTCTCTCCTGTTTTCCCTGACTGGAGCCAGGGGTCCAGATGCAGGGCGGTGTAATTAATGACAGCTGGAGAAGACGCTGGGAGCTAAATCGTTACGTCTGTCGATAGAAGTCACAGCGTGCATCTTAGCAGTTTTTTTGTGTCAGCCAAGCATATTTGGATGGACAAAGGCCCCCAAACAAAAACAGGTTTTAGCCAACCTGAAGCCTGGCCTGGAGACAGAGATGTCTAAAGATCACACGTCCATTAGCTACAGCTGGACAAGAGATCAATCCAGACATCCTCCTGCTCCTCAGAGGCTGTTTTATGATGGCTCCTGGAAGGAGGGGGGGTGGGGGGGAGGGGGTCATGTCCTTTTCTCTCACATGGAGGATCACAGAAATGCTCGCTGCTTTAAAGCTTCCTGTGATGAGAAATCAGATGTTTCTGAGTTGTGATTGGTCAGCGTAGACAGTGACTCCTGGGTGACTGGAGTCGTCATGGACACAGGTGGGGTCAAAGGTGAAGATGGGGCTCCAGTGCTGATGCATAGGAGGTTAACATCTAGGAGGCACTGTGTCTTGGTACAGGTTGCAGGGTCCAGCTAGGTGACATTGATGATCTTTGGTGGCTGAAGGGGAGAAGTGGGTTTAGAACCATCAGCTGGTGCTTCCTCAGTGACCTCAGCAAGCATGGAGGGACTTTCCTCTGGCCACGCATCACAACTTCTGACCAGACAGATGATGTGTTTGTAGAGGAGCTCCAATCACAGGTCCTGAAAGTCCTATGAAGTCACAAGAGCTCAGAAATCACCCCAAATATTAAACGTCCCACAGAATCCAGCTATCAGTGTCAGAAAGGGACAAGAACATCTAAAGGAAGCCCAAAGAGTGGAGACCATCAGGTCAGTTTCTTACAGCTTTATTAAACAGGCATCACTCATGTGGGTCTAAAGCATCTGAGCAGCTGTGAGGATGTGGAGCTGGGATGCTGCAAGCAGATGGGAAATGGTTGAGAGAGGGGGTGGTGTTAGGGGGCATTCCAGGGTCAGGGGGGCTAGGTCCCAACAGATAGCAGCTATATTTGGACTGACGGATGCTGCTGGAGGATGGGAGTGTAAAAACAACCCTCCAGTCACAAAAGAGGGTGTGTCTTTTTACGAATGAATGAACTGGCTGGTGTGTGTGTGTGTGTGTGTGGGGGGGGGGGGGGGGGGTTGTTAAAACACACAGTCAGCAGGCAGACTCGCACTGCAGAACATCTGCTGACTCTGTGTGGACGCTTTTGCTGGATCTGGAGTGAAGGGAGCGACTGGTGGAAGTTTGATCCTGAATGGAAAACTTCTCAAACATCTTTTCTGTCATCAACATCAACTCTTCCTGCATTTAAGGATGATGGTCAAGAAAGTACGATTCAAGGTAGGAAAACCAGTCAGGAACTCCGTGTTGAGCTATGTTTTATGGATGTGTTGAGTACTTCTGAGGATTTCTCCATGATTCCTCCACCAAGCTCTTATCAGGCTGTTTTACATCATTCACATTAGTTTATTTGAGTTTAAAACCAATGAGAACTTTGAAGACACTGATCTCTGTAGAACGGTGGTACGGATGCTGTGTGAGAGCTCATTTGTGGGTCTGTAGTTCTGCATGTACAGGAGAGGTGGATCTAGAGAAGTAGATCAGGAAAGGTGGATTTGGAGAAGTAGATCAGGAAAGGTGGATCTAGAGAAGTAGATCAGGAGAGGTAGATCAGGAAAGGTGGATCAGGAGAGGTGGATCAGGAGAGGTGGATCTGGAGAAGTAGGTCAGGAGAAGTAGATCAGGAGAGGTGGATCAGGAGAGATGGATCTAGAGAAGTAGATCAGGAGAGGTAGATCAGGAAAGGTGGATCAGGAGAGGTGGATCAGGAGAGGTGGATCTGGAGAAGTAGATCAGGAAAGGTGGATTTGGAGAAGTAGATCAGGAAAGGTGGATCTAGAGAAGTAGATCAGGAGAGGTAGATCAGGAAAGGTGGATCAGGAGAGGTGGATCTGGAGAGGTGGATCAGGAGAGGTGGATCAGGAGAGGTGGATCTGGAGAGGTGGATTAGGAGCAGCTTCAGATAGAAGCTGAGCTTCTTTAAGCATCCTTTGGTTCTTCACATTCTCAACAAAACTGAATCACTTCAGCAGGTTTTAGCACATCTTTCCTTTGTGTCCTGGTGACCTAGCGGGGGGGGGGGGGGCTGTTCCACACCAGCTGTTGCTTCTTGTGTTCGTTAGGACTCTGGTTGTGTTTGGATTTATTGTCATGCAGTAAAAGTGTCCGTAATCTGAGATCAGACGTCACTGTGATGTCACAGCACCTCACTGCCCCCCCCCCCCCCACACACACACACACTTGTATTTATATGCTTGTGTGGACTTCTATTGACTTCCATTCATTTTTGTGACACACACACACACAAAGAGCAAGCTCCCGCTGGAGAAGGCTTGTTCCTGCAGATCAGATAACCTGGAGCTCCTCCTAAAACCACACCCCCTTTTCAGATAGAAGAAAGACACACCCCTCAGTCAGGTGTGTGTGTCTGGAGCCCCACGTCAGGCTGAACACCAAACATGTGCCCCTGTACCTTAATTAAATGGTGCGTCCCGTTTTTAATCAATGGGAGTTTGACCCATATGTCCACGTTTTCTTGAACGTAGCCTGATTTTGTACGAAGACACAGATGGTTGGACAGATTTATTAGGGTTCAGCCCCTCCCCCCGCTGCCTCGGCTCTAACGCAACTGGTCAGCAGGCAGGAGTGAGAAGATAGATTCAGCAGGACCATTGTCCTGTCAGAGCTTCTTACCCGGTGTCAGCTCTGTTCTATTAAACATGTGGCTGCTCATTTATCATCAGACATCCCATAAGTCTCTTGACCTCCTAGTAATTAAGATGTGATTTGTTTATTAAAATGCATTAAAGCCAGAGGCGTGAGCTCTGGTTTGCCATCATGATGAATGACATCACAACAGCAGCTTTTTAGTGCTAGATCTCTCTTCTCGTTGCTCTGCTGAGTTCTGTTTTCACCGGTAAATGTTCCCAAGAGTCACAAAGTCTGTTCAGGAAACACTTCCTGCTGCCAGACGTGAGGCGCTAGATGGCACTGGTGCTCTTTCCCCCTTCTTACACAGCATTAAAGAGCTGCTGCCTTAAGCTGTGGCGTTCCAGAGCAGCTGTGAACGAGTGAGTGTGACATGAGGACTGACGGGGGTTATTGTTGACATCCAGTCACTCCGAAGATTTCTGTGGAGGCTCACCGCAGCCTGCAGCTTGAGGCCCGACACGTGGGAGTATGATCCATCAACAGCAACATCCTGCCTAAAAATGATGACCCATTTCCTTTACTTGTTTCAATTCCTCCCCCTCCGTCGGCTCTGGATGGCCCGATAATTTAATTTCCTCCGCAGAAGACCGTATCAGAGGTCTGCAGGGACATCCACCAAGTGAGCAAACTCCAATCATCTCAGAGGATCACGTCAGTTCCCACTCAGGCCTTTGATGTTCATAATGAGCGCTACCCTGAGCT